TTCCTGCTCCTCTGATGCTGCTTGGCCTACTGTGTTCATCCAGCTCTACACCTTGTTATCTCAGATTCTCCAGCATCTGCAGTTCCTACTATCTCTTAACATAGTTCGGTGTATTTTTTCTGACTGGTGCAGATTCGATGGGCTGAAGGGCCCTTTTTCTGTGCTGTAGATCTGTAAAACTGTATAACTCAATGACATCACTGCTGTTCCAGTACAGTGATAACTCTGCAACTCCCTCACTAGCAGTCCCATATGGAATGCAGCAATCAGGGAGATAGAGCACCACCAACGGCACTGACAACTAAGGAATGCACTTGATCGGCGACACCACTGTTCCAACAACTAATTTATAAATATTTTCCTTCCATCATGGAATTTCAAAATAGTTCACAAAGGTTAGCACTGTTGCCTCACAGCACCAGCGACCTGGATTCAATTCCACCCTTGGGCATCTGTCTGTGTGGAGTTTGCATATTCTCCCCGTGTCTGCATGGGTTTCCTCCAGGTGCTCCTGTTTCCTCCCACAGTCCAAAGATGTGCAGGTTAGGGTGAATAAAAACCGAAAGAACTGTGGATGCGGTGCATCAGGAACAAAAACAGAAGTTGCTGGAAAAACTCAGTGGGGCTGGCAGCATCTGTGAAGAAAAAAATCAGAGTTAACACTTCGGGTCCAGTGACCCTTCCTCAGGGGTTCTGAGGAAGGGTCACCAGACCTGAAACGTTAACTCTGATCTTTTCTTCACCGATGATGCCAGATCTGCTGAGCTTTTCCAGCAACTTCTGTTTCTGTTGCAGGTTAGGATGGATTGACCATAGGAAATTGCCCGTAGTTTCCAGGGATGTGCAGGCTAGGTGGGTTAGTGTTATGTTATTTTTGTAATTGTATCGTCTGAAAAACAGCACCTCTGATAATGCAGTCCTGCCCCGGGGAGAGTCAATTTTACCTTTGTTTTATTTACAAGAAATCTGTTCCAGATGGGCTCAGTATTTTGACCAATCATTTACCAATGGCTAGAAAGAAGCACTGATCCAAAATCAGAGAGCTGGAAGATTCATCCCAATTATTTCTAGTTCAACAATCTTCCACAACTAGTCAAGATCCATCCCAAAATATCCAGTCCTACTTTCAAAAAATACCCAACGATTGAGGATTCATAGCCCTCTGGACTGGAGATTTTCAGAATTCACAAACCCTTCAAGTGAAAAATTGTCTCCTCATTTCAGCCCCAGATGATAGGCTCCTTATTCTGAGACAATGATGCCCAGTTTTTGACAGTACCCCCCCAACCAGGGGAGATAATCTCTAAGCATCTACCCCACCAAGGTGTTCAACAATTTCAATGAGAGTCATGAACAAATATTTACTTTAATAAACTTTAATTTAGAACACAGAACCAGGCCATTCAGCCCAATTAATTGATGCCTGTGTTTATGCTTCCTATCCCTCTTCATCTCGGCCTCTTCATCCTCGTTCCCTATACTTTTCTCCCTCATGAATTTACCTAGATTCCATGTAAATGTATCTATGTTATTAGACTCAACCACTTCCTGGAGCAGTAAGTTTAACATTCTCATCATCCTCTGGGCAAAGAGGTTTTTCCTGAATTCTCTATTGAAATTATTAATCACTATTGAATATTTATGCCCCTAGTTTTGGACTGTTCCAACACTGAAAATATCTTTTCTGCATCCACCTTATCAATTCAGTATTGTAGAGACTTCCAAAAGGTCTCCTTGAGATCAAAATTTGTTCAATATCTTCTGTTGCAGTGAAATTGAAAATAATCAAATTCAGTTGACCCAAAACTTTAGTTGTCAGCTGATCCAGCCAACAGAATTGGGTGTCCAATAGAACGTCCATGATTGTTGTGTTATGTCTCATGATTGGTATGTTAGTGTACCTCTAAGAGACGTGCCATTTACATCATCACTGTATTCCAGGATGTGACTTGGGGCTATAAAGACTCCAACTTTGCCCCAGAGCACCCAAAGCACAACATGCTACAAGAAGCAACTGCATAGAAGCTTCTCTATTTACTTTAATAACTTGACGTTAGCCCAGACACTGATTTGATTTTGCTCTTAGTGGGATATTTCACCTGATGCTGCAGTGCTTAAGTTATCCCTTGTAATGCAAGAAATTGGATGTCGATTTAAAGGTATTGAAGAAGGGATAAGGTCGATTATGAGATCTTCACCTTCAAGTCACATGCTATGATTCATATCATTTAAAGTTATAGTGTCTGTGAGAAATAAAATGGCGGTAATAATGCAAATGTTTGGATTGGTAACTCCAGATTAATTGAACACAATCCAGTTTATCACAGAAACACAGACATATGGAAGATAGATGTAGGAGTAGGCCATTCAGCCCTTCAAGCCTCCTCCACCATTCAATATAATCATGGCTGATAATCAAGCTCAATGTCCTAATCATGGGGAATTGATGGCCTAGTGGTATCATTGCTGGACTGTTAATCCAGAGACCAGGTAATGTTCCCAGGACCCAGGTTTGAATCCTGCCACAGCAGGTGGTTGAATGTGAAATCAACAAAAAAAGTCTCTAATTAAGAGTCTAATGATGACCATGAATCCAATGTCGAAAAAAAATCTATCTGGTTCACGTAATTCCCTTTAGGGAAGGAAACTGCCATTGTCACTTCATCTGGCCAACATGTGACTCAAGACACACAGCAATATAGTTCAGTCTTAACAGCCCTCTGGGCATTAGGGATGGGCAATAAATGCTGCCTGGCCAGCAATGCCCTCATTCTGTGAATGAATAAAAAAAATCTTGTCCTCCCCAATACCTCTAGCCACAAGAACTTTCTGTACCTCCTTCTGGAAAACACAATGTTTTAGCATCACCCGCATTCGGTGGCAGTGAATTCCACAGGCTCCCCACTCTCTGGGCAGCATGGAAGTTGGGCCGAAGGGCCTGTTTCAATGCTGTAAACCTCTATGACTCTTGCTGAAGCAATTTCTCCTCATCTCAGTCCTAAAAGATTTACCTCTTATCCATAAACTATGACCCCTGGTACTGGACACCCCACCATCAGGAACATCCTTCCTGCGTCTAACCTGTCTAATTATGTGACCAGGCTAACCAATTGGAGCAGAGTTAGGCCCCACTACAGCATGAAATCATGTACGACCCGCCATTTGACATTTGAGATCACTGTGACTCCCTGCAAGTATGACTGAGGAGAGCAATGACCCTGAAGAGTGTGATGAAAGCCCATTTGCTCACTGAGTCACCTGTCTGTTACCCTGGCTGAAACCTGTAATGCACATAAAGGTGCCCTGAGGTTTTACACTGCAGCATGGAAATGCGACAAAAGTATTTGATTTCATTGATGCAGTAGTGAACCAAAAAGAACAGAGCATCGCTACTGAGTTTTTCCAGACATAACTCCCAGTGTGTTTTAATGTCTTTGACGATACAAGCTGAGGCCGTTGTAAAGATGGACAACATTTTTCATATATTTATTGCGTCACTGTGTTTTTGTTTGTTTTTGATGTTGAGCACATTTGCTAGCAAAACCAAAAGAACTACGGATCTGCAAATCAGGAACGAAAACAGAAGTTGCTGGAAAAGCTCAGCAGGTCTGGCAGCATCTGTGAAGAAAAGAAAAATTGGAGTTGACGTTTCGGGTCCGGTGACCCATCCCCAGACCTGTTCTGAGGAAGGGTCACTGGACCCAATAACTTTGATTTATTTTTTTCTTCACAGAAGCTGCCAGACCTGCTGAGCTTTTCCAGCAGCTTCTGACATTTGCTAGCAAATTGGTTTACACAGGGCTACCTCAGTTACCTCAAAGTTCCAGTTATAAATCTGTGGGTGGGGCCCCCTGCGATTCAACTTATTGCAATGGTTAAAACTCTTTGGTACCTGTATCATCCTTATAGATATATTTTTGCACCTTCTTCAGTGCTTCTGTATCAATTTCGCAATGTGGAGAATAGAACAATACATATTTGCTCCAAGTGCAGTTTTAATGTATGTTCCTTATAAGTTTGCCATAAGTTCTCTGTTTTTCAATTCTATACCTTCAGAAATGGCTCACAGTACACAGCTTGCATTGGCTTCAACTCTGTCACTGCACTTCATATCAATAGACCCTGCTCCTGTGAAGACTTGAATGATGTCACTCATTTGTATGTTTCTTCCTACCTTTAGGGACGTGTGTCACGAGTTGCTGGGGCATGTGCCACTCTTTTGTGACCCAAAATTTGCCCAATTTTCACAGGTCAGTGCAACATATTTCAAACTGCACCCTGAAGTGTTTCAAAGCCTTGACATGAAGAAAACTGTTTTGAAGAACAATAGCTTTTGCTCTCTCTGTCTTTTCTCTCTCTCCCTCTCTCACTGTCTCTCTCTGTCTCGTTCTTTCCTCTTTTCATTCACAGGATGTGAGACCCAATGTTAAGGCCAGTCTTTACTGACCATCTCCAATTGCCCTTGAATTAAGCGACTAACTGGGCCATTTTTAAAAAGAAAAACATTTTAAGTAATGTAGGTATTTCTGGGAAAGCCAGAATTTATGGTCCATCTTTAATTCCCTGTGAACTTATTGACTACCTCAGGCTATTTAGAATCAATCACAGTGCTGTAGGGCTGGAGTCTCATGTAGGCTGGGCTGGGAAGGACAACGGACTTCCTTTACTAAAGATGTTAGTGAACCAGATGGGGTTTTACAACCAGGTGCAGAGCTGGATGAACACAGCAGGCCAAGCAGCATCATAGGAGCAGAAAGGCTGACGTTTTGGGCCTAGACCCTTCATCAGACCCTTCATTTACAACCATCTAGTTAGTTACATCATCACCAATATTAGTTTTTAATTCTACTTTTATCTACCAAGTGAATTTAAATTCAGGATGACTGGAACATTAGTACAACCCTCTGGATACTGCAAATGCAGAAAATCTGAAATAAAAACCGAAAGTGCTGGAGAAACTCAGCAGGTCGGGCAGAATCTATGGAGAGAGAAACAGAGTTAATGTTTCTAGTCCGGTATGACTCTACTTCAGAAGTCTGAACTCTGAAGAATCATTCCAGACTTGAAACATTAATTCTGTTCCTCTCTCCACAGATGATGCCAGACCTGCTCAGTTTCTCCAGCACTTTCTGTGATTATAACAACCAATGGCATAACAACAAATGAGCTTCAAGAACACCAAAGAAGGCATAGGTCCTGCTTTTAGATTTACACCCAGCAGGCATGAGACTCCCTTGAATATGTTGACTGTGGTCTAACCACTGCTAAAAGAGACCTTGCTGAAACTAACAGCTTAGTTTATTGGATGACAGGAGGAGAAAACGTAGAAAATATAAGTAAAAGTAGGCCATTCAGCCCATCAAGCTTGCTCCACCATTCAAGTAGATCATGGCTGATCACTTACCTCCACTATCCCACATCCCTTGGGATCATTAGCATGAGAGACCTACCAATTCCTGTCTTGAACCTACTCAATGACTGAGCTTCAACACCCCCTGGGACTAAGTATTTGAACAAATCACCATGAAAATGGTATTGATGCAAGAGAGACAGATAACTTAAGTTCATGAAACCAGGATGTAGAAGTGGTTTGGGTAGTGATAAGAAATGATAAAGACAAGAAGTCACGTGGGGGTAGTGTACAAACTCCAGAAAAGTAACTACATGGCTGTAGGGAGAATAAAAGAAAAAATAAGAACAGCTTGTAAGAAAGGACTGGTGATAATCATGGGTGAATTTAATTTATACACTGACTAGAAATTTCAGCAAAGGTAACCCAGATAAAGCATTCACAGAATCTTCTAGACATTTCTGGAACTTTACACTCTGGAGCCAAACAGAGAGCAGATTATACGAGACCTAATATTGTGTTATGAGGTAAGATTAATTAACAGAGAAGCCATAGTGAAGGGGCAAGCCTCCCCTTCTGGGTAGCAATGGCCATGATATGACTGAATTTTACATCCAGTTTAAGAGAGAGAGAAGTGGGTCCAAGACAAATATTTAAACTTAAATTAAGGAAATTATGTGGGCATGAAAGCATAGGTGGCTAAAGTGAATTGGCAAATTAATTTAAGGCATAGGTCACTAAAGTGTATGTTAATAAAGAGGGAAAATAGCTGGTGAGCGAAAGCTAGATAGAAATAGAAAGATTGATAGCATGAGTTTCTTTGGAGACGTTAAAAAGGAAATAATTCTTTAAAGTTTTAAAGCTTGAAAGGTTTCATGAAGTCGAGATTGTGTTTGATCAATCTCTTGAAGTTCTTTGAAGAAGTGCAGTGTGCTGCGGTGATAATGCAGGATATGAGGAATATTGGATCAACGATGATCGTACTGAATGGTGGAACAGACGTGAGGGGCTGAACGTTTGACTGCTGTTTCTATTTCTTACGGTAAATAGTAACTGGAAACTGTGGAAACTTTTGTTGTACTTTGGTTCTCAGTAGGCATTTGATAAAGTGTCAAACCAAAAGTTATTGTGGAAAATAAAGGCGGTTACATGTTGGTGTAGGTAGAAGAATGGCTGGCTAACAGGAAGCAGAGTGTACAAATAGATGGGTCATATTCTGGTTGGCCAGATGTGATGAGTGTGTACTACAAGGAATAATGCTGGAACCTCAACTGTTTACAATTTATAAAAGTGACATGGGTGAAGGGGCTGAGGTTATGAGTGCTAAATTTCTTTTGATGTCACAAAGATACATAGGAAAGTAATTTATGAAAAGGACACAATGAATCTACAAGAAGATCTAGATATGTTTTATGTGAGTGGGCAAAAATCTTGCAAATAGAGTACGTTATGTGGGAAAATGTGAAATGCCCATTTTGACAGGAATTTTTTTTTTAAAAAGTGTATTATCTAAATACTAAGAAATTGCAGAGCTCTGAGATGCAGAGGGATGTATCTGTCCTCCTGTATGGATCATTAAATGTTAGTATGCAGGTACAGCAAGTAATTACTAAAGCTAGTAGAACATTGTTGCTTAATGCAAGGGATATTTGTCTCGTTCCTAAAGGGAAGATATATGTGCTTATGAAGGAGTTCAGTTAAGAGTCTGCCAGACTAATACCTGGAGTGGGTGAGTTGTCATATAAAGAAAGACTGCACAGAGTGGATTTGTATCCACTGGAGTTTAGAATAGTGAGGGGTGCCTTGACTGAAACATAATAGATCCTGTGAGATCTTGACAAGGTGCTTGTAGATAAGATGTTTTCTCTTCTGGGAGGTTTTAGAATTTAGGGAAACAGCTTTCTGCATCCACAGTGTCACACCCTGTAAGAATTTTGTAGGTTGCAATGAGATCTCCTCTAATTCTTTACAGCAATCCTACTGCCACAAAAGTTAGTCAGGTGAATCTGTGTTACTCTCTAGCAAATGCACCGTATTTAAATAAGGAGGATAAAATTGTTCACAATACTCCAGCTGTGGGTGTTGATGGTGATGGAGATTGTGGGGGAATACCTGGTTCTTCAGTCAATACCAGACTGGGAGAGGTTTGATTGGGGATTTAGACCCCATGGACCAAATCCCAGCAGCAGGGATGCTGATGAAAAGAAGTACCCATCTGTACCCTTCTTCCTCAGAATATCTGAATTGAATAGTTCTCTGGTCAGAACACAGCTGGAGCATTGTGTTCAGTATTGGCAGCTGGGGAGACATTAAATTACTTTCAGTGGAAATGCAGACATTGTCACTCCTGTTAGGGTCTGAGTTCTGATGAAATCTTAGAGATACTGGGGATTTACAATTTACGCAGGGGATGAATTATAGAATCATACAATATAGAAGAGTGCCTTCAGCCCATCATGTCTGTTCTGCCAACAATACATTACTACCTACACTAGTCCCCCTTTCCTACACTAGGCCCATAGCCTCGAATGTAATTACTACATTATAGTTGATGATATAGGTGCATGAATCTTTAAGTTAAACTATGACATGTAAAGGAATACAGCTTCAGATTCCCATTTTCCAGTCATGCCTCAACTTTCAAAACTCTGGAATTCTCTCCCTAAACTATTTTGCTATTTCTCCTCTCCCCTTTCCTTTAAGATCCTCTGTAAAACTCATTGATTTGACTTTTTTTGGTTGCCCATCCTGGTATCTCTACTGTGGCTTTTTTTTGCCTGATTACATGATTTCTTAACGTTAAACATGATTTGTAATTACAAGCTGTTGTTGTAAGATAAAAGCAAAATGTAAGGAGCGTGGGTAGAGGTTCTTTCTTCGTGGCGTTGGATAGGAGAGTGGTGGAATAAACGCTGTTACGACTTAATGTGCAATTATTAGGGGCATGAATGGCCAACTTCATCTAACTTCGTCTAACTGGTAAGTGCCTTTCATTTTCAGGCCTTTCACTAAATAACTGTTGTTTGTCATTCCCTATGCTTACAGGAAATAGGACTTGCATCTCTGGGTGCTCCAGATGAATTTATTGAGAAGCTTGCTACGGTATGTAGGACGTCTTGTTTCATTTCTGTCTGTCTATAATTTAAATTTTACCTGGTGACTGGGAGTGCACACATGTGGGAGAAATGAACAGGAGGATACACTGAGATCAGGAGCACAAGAATTATGTGGAGCAGGAACACTGACACAAACCATTTGGGCAGGAGAGACTGCCTGGAGACTCATTGTAACTGTGCAGTTCTATTTTACAAGATCTGTGAGCCAATTTGGTCTGCATAGTATAAAATTAACTGAAGTCAGTGTAAAAATAGATTTACTGCGATGACCAGAACTGAAAACCTATGCCTATTTGGAAAAATTGAACAATGGGTGGGTGGACAGGCTTGGGATTTTTTCTCCAGAAGATGAAAGAATTTGGGATGAACTGAAAGACATCTTTAACATTATGGAAAAGTTTGATAGGGCAGCATGTAGAAAAGATATTTACACTAGCAGGAAAGACCATTACTAGAGGCTATCGATATAAGACAATCTTGCTGCAGTTATACAGGGCCAAGGAGAGGCCACACCTTGAGTATTGTGCGCAGTTTTGGTCTCCTAGTCTGAGGAAGAACATTCTTCACCAGATTGATTCCCAGGATGGCAGGACTGACATATGAGGAAAGATTGGATTGACTGGGCTTGTACTTGCTAGAATTTAGAAGAATGAGGGGGGATCTCATAGAAACATATAAAATCCTGATGGGACTGGACAGGCTAGATGTGGGAAGAATATTCCTAATGTTGGGGTCCAGACTAGGGGTCATAGTCTAAGAATAAGGGGTAAGCCATTCAGAACTGAGATGAGGAAGAATTTCTTCACCCAGAGAGTTGTGAACTTGTCAAATTCTCTACCACAGAAAGCTGTCGGGGCCAGTTCATTAGATATATTCAAGAGGGAGCTGGGCATGGCCTTGTGGCTAATGGGATCATGGGGTATGGAGTGAAAACAGAAGAGGGATATTGAAGTTGCATGGTGAGCCATAATCATATTGAACGGTGGTGTAGGCTCGAAGGGCCGAATGGCCACTCCTGCACCGATTTTCTATGGTTCTATGTTTCTAATAAATTCAATCAGGAATCCAAGAATGTCTCCACTCAGAGAACATTGAGAATGTAGAACTCGGTCCCTCAAAGAGTGTTTGAAGCAGATGAATTTAATAGTAATCTAGATACACACATGAGGAAGAAACAAGTTTTACTTGATTTAATCTTGGGATGTGGACGTTGATGGCTGGACCAGTATCTATTTCCTCTCCTCAACTCAAGAAGGTGATAGTGAGCTGCCTTCTTGAACCCTTGCAGTTCACTTGATGCAGAGATGCTTACAATGCTGATAGGACAGGAGTTCCTGGATTTTGACCCAGCAACAGTGAAGCAACAGTGATATATTTCCAAGTCAGGATGGTGAGTGGCTCGGAAAGGATTTTGGTTACTTCTGTGTAACAGAAATAGAAGAAAGCTCTTGTGGAGCAGAAACTTGCTTGGGGCAGCTGGTTAAATAGTTTTAAAAAACCGAAAGAACTGCAAATTCTGTAAATCAAGAGCAAAAACAAAGTTGCTGGAAAAGCTCAGTAGGTCTGGCAGCATCTGTGAAGAAAAGAAAAATTGGAGTTGACGTTTCGGGGAAGGGTCACCAGACCCGAAATGTTAACCCTGTTTTTTCCTTCACAGATGCTGCCAGACCTGCTGAGCTTTTCCAGCAACTTTGTTGTTATGGTTAAATAGCTTGTTTCTTTGTTCCAAATACATTGTAATAATTTTAAAATAATTGGTTGACAGAATGCACAGTAGCGCCATGTACAGGACTTAAAATGAAACATGCTCGTCCAATGATGTGCCAAATTATTGCTTTTGCTCTTCCTGTCACAGTGGGTTAGAAACACCCTTAGAATTGTCCACTTCTGTGGATATACAAATAGGCTGAATCTTACGCAGAAATTAGCTCAATGTATATTTTGGCAGGTTTCCTGAAGGGTTTCTCTCTGTGAGTCCTGGTGAGTTATCTCCCACAATTATCCCAAACTCACCTCATTAGCTATGTACCCTGCTCCTACAGCAACCAGCTTGTATGTTCTTCCACTCACTGCAGGCAAACCTGCCCACTGCCAGGACCTCCTGGGATTGCTGGCACCAGTGCCATGTTTCAAGCCCTGCACGGTTTGTTTTGTTTGCCCCAGATGTGCTGATAGAGGACAAAGTCATCCCACTTCACCCAGGGAGTCGTGAAGATTCTGCTGGATGGGGAAGGGGCACTGTGCAGTCAGTGACCATGGAGCACGGTCTGGGGCTGATATGGAGTCAGAGGAGCGAGCAGTGAGATGGAGTGGCCAGGTCCTTGCTCGGACTTTCATATCGGGAATTGTCTCCATCTGGTTTCTATCTGGTGGGTAGGAAAATGGGAAAATATGTATCAATAAGGTGCCGTGACCAAATAATGAAGATGTTAATGCACACAGTGCACACTAATAGGCTTCTTACTGCTCACTAGTGTGAATCTCACCTCACCCATCAAAAGTTGGTTAGAAAATGGGACTTTTTGCTCTGGACAGTGGGAACTCCTCGCTGCTGATCTCACACGAATCTCCCAACTTTCTCGCTAACACCCGCGTTGTTCAGGGGCTGGGAAGATCCCATCTGAAATCTCCAGAATAGAAGTAGGAGCCTATTAATGATAATAAGTAAATGTTTAGTATTTGGTGCAAAAACTTAGCAGTTTGGCAAAAATGTTCAATTTTTTCAGAGTTCAGTTTGAACGTTTTGATCGGCATCAAAATTGGGCCTTCAAAGGCATGAAACAAAACAAGAAACTCTGCAGTTTTCAGAGGTGCTCAGGATTAATGTCCATCAATAACCAGGCTTTGCCAGGGTTAATGTGGCAGTGGTCAGGCAGTGATGGGTTCAAATGAAGGGATTCAAAACTTCAGGAAAGGGCCTGCAGACAAATGATGCATTAACAACATGCTGGACTTACTAATAATTCCTCAAGTGAATATGATGTCACATGAAGTAATGATAAGACTTTGTTTGTCTTGTGTTATTGTCCAGACCAGAGCCCCTCAAAATATTTTCAGAACGTAGCCTAGATCCTAAGATTTTCTTATTTTAAAGGTTGATGTAATGTGGGTGTTCCAGATGTGATGTGACTAAGTCAAACTACTCAACATTATAGTTAAAATACAATAAAAAGAAAGAGGAGTTTAGAATAACAACAATTGGAAAACTTAACCGAGTAATAGATACAGTACCTCTTACAATATAGTAACATCCCATAAACGCACCCCTTGGCAAAAAGGCAAATTCAGACGCATTTTCTTACATGCAGTTCTCCAAACCAGGAGGAAGAAACATCAAGAGAAATTTCAGAGAAAGTTGCAGCTAGGAATCATTTACCGAAGCTTCCAACTCTTCTGAGACCCCAAACAGCTTTTGATGCTACTGAAAAACACAAAACCCAGAAATCCCGATCTGTGAGAGCTGGCCACGCCTATTCATGCTGTAAAAACAGAAATCCAAGGCCTCACAAGTTATTTACTGTAGTGGTTCTGGCAGACTGCTCTATGCCTCTAGATTTACAAACTCTCTTCAAAGAAAACCAGGACAAAGTAACCTCTTAAAGTGACAGCATCATCACACTTGTCATCAGGGAAGTGAGAGTAGACTTGAGATGAGGAGATGATAGCCTAGTGGTATTATCACTAGACTGTTAATCCAGAGACCCAGATAACGTTCCGGGGACCTGGGTTCAAATCCCACCACAGCAGATGGTGGAATTTGAATTCAATAAAAATATCTGGAATTAAGCATCTAATGATGACCATGAATCCATTGTCAATTGTTGGAAAAACCCATTGTTGGAAGGAAACTGCCATCCTTGCCTACATGTGACTCCAGAGTCACAGCACTGTGGTTGACTCTTAAGTGCCCTCTGGGCAATAAATACTAACTGGCCAGCGATGCCCTCATACTGTTAATGAATAAAGGGGGAAAAAAAAGACCGCTACTGAACCAGAGTATTATTCATATTGACAACAGATATCCTTGTAAAGGATTCCCTAGAATCATAGAATCCCTACAATGTAGAAACAGACCATTCAGCCCATTGGGTCCACATCAAACTTTTGAAGAGCATCCTACCCAGACCCAACATCCAACCCTATTCCTGTAGCCCTGCACATCCCTGGACACTATGGGCAATTTAGCATGGTCAATTCACCAAGCTTGCACACCATTGGACTGTGGGAGGAAACTGGAGCACCCAGAGGAAACTCACGCAGACACAGGGAGAATGTGCAAGCTCTACATGGACAGTCACCCAAGATCGGAGTTGAACCCAAGTCCCTGGTGTTGTGAGACAGCAGAAATGACCTCTGAGCTACGATGTTGCTCATAATCCTTTTCTTTTATTCTTTCATGAGATGTGATTATCACTGGCAAAGCTAGCACTTGTAGTCCATCCCTAATTGCCATTAAAACCTGTGGCCTGTTCATCCATTTGAGAGGGCAAGGAAAATTCAACCACATTGCTGGAGATTTTGAGTAATGAATAGGTCAGGCCAGGTATTCACAGCAGATTTCCTCCCCTAAAGGGCCCTTGCTCTGATGTTCTGGGGCCATAAGTTTGAATTCCACCAATGATCGATGACGACGTTTGAATTCAATGAAAAATCTATAAATAAAGTGCAGCCATGTAATCATTGTCAAGTTCCATAAAAACCCATCTAGTTCTCTAATGTCCTTTAGGGAAGGAAATCTGCCATCTTTACCTGGTCTGGCCTACAAGTGACTCCAGGCCCACAGCACAACGTACGAAAACAGAAGTTGCTGGAAAAGCTCAGCAGGTCTGGCAGCATCTGTGAAGAAAAAATCGGAGTTCATGTTTTGGGTCCGGTGACCCTTCCTCTGAACAATCCAGCAACTTCTGTTTTTGTTCCTGATCACAGTTCATTCGGTTTCCACAGCACAATGTGGTTGACTCTTAACTGTCCTCTGAAATGGTCTCACAAGCCTCTGAGTTTAAGGACAATAAGAGGTGCTGCCCTCGACAATGGCACTTACATCACACGAACAAACACGAAAAATGTTATGAATTCATTTAAACCACATATCCATAATTCTTAAGGTGAAAAACAGGAAAATACAGATGCATTGTATGTCCCAGACAGCCCCTGGGATGCAATTAGGTTCCATCTTTGTTCACAACTTGAATTGTACAATAGTCGGAACACAATGCAAGGCAATATAAAGCAGCCATTTGTAAAAACAGGGAACGTTCATATGCTGGATCTTTAAAATTATGCCCCTGCGCAGGATCATGTTTGTAAGTACGAATATTTGTAAGTCAGATGTTGACACGGACCCCCATGTATTCCAAGTTGTAATAAAGTTTAAGGGTTTAAATTAACATTAAAACAGAATAACACTTCCCAGCAGAGTATAAGGCATCAACTTTAAGTGTCCAGTCTCTTATCTGAAGGAAATTCGTTGACTTGCCATTAAAATGAGACACAGCCTTTATATCCTAGCCCAGGAACGTCCTGGAAGCGGTATCTTAAATGTTAAGCAATTATATATCATTATCACATGCCTTTCAGCCTCAATGGGATGTAGTAACAAAATCAAATAATTAGAGAATTAAAACCTTGGTAATTATGGGCTGGGTATTAAATAAAGAACAACAGCATCAATTACTTCAAACTGATGAATGCTTTAAAATAGTGCAGCTGGGAACCAGCAGTACAGTCGGTTTGTTCCCCTGATCATTTAATATGGGCCAAGCGGATGGGATCACTACACTGACACTGCCATTGTAGCTCTGAGGAGGCTCTGTGTTGTTCTATGAACCATCTTTTAGATGATGAAAGAGATAGGGATTTAGATGAAGCAGAAAAAAAGGGCCACGTGACAGATGTCAGGTTAGGAACCCGTAGGAGCAAGAGTAGGCCATTCAGCCTATCAAGCCTGATTTGCCAGTCAATTAGATCATGGCTGATCATCTACCTCATTTCCTGTACTATCCCCAAATTCCTTGTTGTGATTATTAATCTCCAGACATTAATCGATTTCTGTCTTCAATAATTGAGCCTCCACAACTCTTTGGGGTAAAGAATGATGTCAAGGGCAGTCAATCTCATCTCACCTCTGAGATTCTGCTCCTTTGTTCCTGTTTTAAACAAAGCTGTAATGAGGCCAGGAGCTAATAGACCCCTGAAAGAACCCAAATGGGATCAGTGAGCAGGCTATTACTGAGCCGATGCTGCTTTGATAGCAACTCCTTGACAGCGTAGATACGGAGAGATTGTTCCCCCTCATGGGACAATATAGGACTAGAGAACCTAATCTCAGAATAAGGTGGAGACACATTCAAGACAGAAATGAGGAGAAATTTCTTCTCTCAGAGGATAGTACAGCTGTGAAATTCTTTACCACAGAGGGCGTTCGAGGCTGGGTCATTAAGTATATTCAAGGGATAGATAAATTTTTAATCAAAAAGGGATCAAGGGTTGTGGGGACAAGGTAGGGAAGTGGAATTGAGGATTATCAGATCAGCTATAATCTCATTGAATGGAAGAACAGACTCAATGTGTTGAATAACCAGCTTCTGCTCCTACATCTTATGGTCTTGTGATCTTATGGTTAAGACCTGAAATGCCCTGCCTGACAGCATGGTGGAAGCACATTCAATCATGGCTGTCAAAAATGAATTGGAGAATTATCAGAAAGGGATGGTTTGAAGGCTGCAGGGTAAGGTGGTAGGGGTGTTGTGGTGGTTGGATTAATTCAAATTGTATCACAGGGACCAAGCATAGATTCACTGGGCTGTACGCCCTGATTCTGCTCAAGGGCCATTCTTCCTTCTTCAGTGGATATAAAAGGTTCCATGGCCGTTAATTAAAGAAAAACGGGAAAGTTCTGTCCTGTGCCCTGACCCATATTTATCTCTAAGGAAACATTGTTAAAAAGCAGACTTTCTGGTAATTATCATATTGCTATTTGTGGCATGTGACTGGTTACACTGCTTCCTGCATTACAGCAGTGACTACACTTCAAAAATAGTTCATTGTCTATAGAGTACCTTGGAATGTCCTGTTATCTTCAAAGTTGCCATATAAATGTAAGGCTTTATCTATTCCATGTAGTATCACAACTCATACTCCAGTTTGTCAGGAATGGTGGTGGGAACACATCAGCCCTCATGGGTGGTTGACCTTTTAGGAGTTGTCCCAGGACCACATAAGGACACCATGCTCAAGGCTATGAACAACAGCCAAAGCAGAATAAATGAATCTTCAGTGGTGATGGGGAAAGGACTAGAACCTCCAAGGAAGACAGCTGCTTCCAGATTGATGACCTTCCAAGAAGATGACTTGAAGTAGACATGAGGAAGACATCAGGAAACAACTTTATGCTTATTTATTTCCTGATTATAATGTACTTTGACACTAAAAATAGGCAGCTCTTGCAAGTAGTGAAGAGAAGAGCAAAGGGTCTTGAGGAGAAATGAGCATAAGTCATTGAAACATTGACAACTGGAGCAGGAGTAGACTATTCGGCCCTTTGAGCCTACTCTGTCATTCAATATGATCATGGCTGATCATCCAATGCAATCTCCTGTTCTTTCTCCCCCATACTGTTTGTCCTTTTAGCCCTAAGAACAATATCTAATTCCTTTAAAAGCATTCAATATTTTGGCCTTAACCACTTTCTGTGGCAGAGAAGCCCCCAGGCTCATTGCTATTTGTGTGAAGACATTTTGCTTCATCTCAGTCCTAAGTGTCCTGTCATTGGAGCCCTGGCTCACATATTCACTTGCCACATTGGATAAGTATTTTAACAATTACACGTGCTTTCACCAGACATGATATCTGACATGTATGGGTAATGTATAAATAAAAACTGAAAGAACTGCGGATGCTGTAAATCAGGAAGAGAAACCGAAATTGCTGGAAAAGCTCAGTGGATCTGGCAGCATCTGTGGAGAGAAATCAGAGTTAACATTTCATATGGAGTGATCCTTCCTCAGAACGGTCTGAGGAAGGGTCATCCGATGCAAAACGTTGACTCTGATTTCTCTCCACAGATGCTGCCAGATCTGCTGAGATTTTCCAGCAATTTCTGTTTTTGTGTGGGTATGTATATCTCATATTGATTTGCATCACATGCGGATTATTTTGACCAGCCTGAAAACAGTTGCTAATCCCTCAGTACTACCTTAAGCACAAATACCCACTTGCTTCTCTTTGAGTGCTGGCATTGAGGCACATGAACACTGACAGAACACGATGAAATTCCTTACATGTGAAGCCTGTCAGATAAAAGAATGGAAGTCACCATCAGGATTACGTGTCAAATTATTTCATGCAGGCTCAGTCACACTTGAGAGATCAAAGTTTCTCAGAATGCTCAGTTTGCCTCGTTCAAAAGTCTGGCTGAAACTGAATGATTCACATCCAAGATATTGTCCAGTGCTGAAATTGTGCACACCTTGGCACTGGGTCTATATGTGACTCCAGACTCACAGTAATGTTCTTGATTCTTAACTGCTCTTAAAGCAAGTAAATACTTGCCTGCCCATATCCTGTGAAAGTAAGATTTTTTTTTTAAATGTGACTCTAAATATTCGGTTTTGCTCTCAGCATGTCCCCACACAATCTTAGTAAGGAGCTCTGGCTACAAATCTTTCCAAGCAAGTCATTTGGATGATTTGTTTCTCCAGCCCAGATCCTGTTAACTGGGTCCTTCTCCTGTTCTGGTTCACAGGTTTATTGGTTCACAGTGGAGTTTGGCCTCTGTAAGCAGAATAACGAAATCAAGGCATATGGTGCAGGTTTACTGTCATCCTACGGAGAGCTGCAGGTTTGTCGTTTTCGTCCTTCCCGGTCAGATATTTGCCCTTCTGCGCTCATGTTTACAGTAGAATATTATACCAGTCTAAGCGAATGACATTTTCCTTTCCAGTATTGCCTAACAAATGAACCAGAAGTGCGTGCCTTTGACCCAGAAACGACACACACTCAGATATATCCGATCACCAAATTCCAACCAGTCTACTTTGTCGCTGAATCATTTGAAGATGCAAAGGAGAAAGTGAGGTAAGCTGGCACATTGTGAATATTTGAGCAGGAGGAGGCCATTCGGTCCCTTGAGCTGGTTCTGCCATTCAATCACGGCTCTGCTATTTCATAGAGTCATAATGTCATAGACCATGGAAACAGACTCTACAGTCCAACCAGTCTATGCCAACCATAATCCCAAACTAAACTAGTCCCACATGCCTGAACTTGGCCCATAACCCTCCAAACCTTTCCTGTCTCTATTCCATTTTCCCACCTTTATACTTTATCCCTCAAAGTGCTTGGATGTAATTGTACTGCAGTGATGCCTACACCGCTGGAGGATCAAGCTAATGCTCTTGCTACATGGGTTCAAATCCCACCATGGCAGACAGTGGAATTTAAATTGAATTCATAAAAAAGATCTGCAATAGAAAGCTAGTCTTGGTCATGGAGACCATGAAACCTATTATTGATTGTTGGATATACCCTGTGGTTCACTCTTGTCCTTTAGGGAAGGAAATCTGCTGCCTTTACCCACTCTGATCTACATGTGATCCAGACCCACAGCAAGGTGGCTGACTTTTAATGGCCTGGAAAGTCACTCAACTAAAGACGGGCAACAACTACTGGCCTTGCCAGTGAGGCCCACATCCCAAACAAGATTACATACAATAAAGACTTTTATCAAATAAATGGGTTCAGTCTTGAAGTCTCCAATTAATCTGCTGTCTTTGACCCAAAGTGCAGATATCTCCTGCAGTTTGTGTGAAGAAGTGCTTCCTAATTTCATTCCTGGAAATTCGAGCTCCAATTTAAGATTCACCCAGAAGAGGAAATCATTTCACCAAACCACCCTTTTTCAAACAGGTCATCCCTCATCTGATCATCAGGGGAGGTAATGGCCTAGTGGTATTATCGCTAGACTATTAATCCAGAGACACAGCTAATGTTCTCTCCAAGGATGTGGGCATTGCTTGCTGGGACAGCATTGGATCCTTGACTGAATGGCTCCCCAGGCTACTTCTGAGTGTGGTTAAGAGTCAATCAAGTTGTTATGGAGTCTTATGATAAATTTTCCTTTCCATTTTATGAATTTAGATTCTAAGTGAGATTTGAACCATATCCATTGAGCGTTAGTCTGAGTTTCTGGATTGCTAGTCTCATCACAATGCCACTAAGTCACCATCACCCTTTTGCATGCTGAATTGAGGTATTCTGCAAAGTGGCCACTCAATCTAATCTTTTGTTTCTTTCCCTGCCCCATCAGTTTGACCCTCAAGGGCCAACTCTTCTATCATTCGATCTCTCTTGTTTTCCACCCCATCACAGAGCTTCCTTTCCACTTGTACCCCACACACCCCATGCTCAAGTATATCCCAGGACTTCCCAGTTATGGGAAGTTGGGGAGGAAATTGTGGGACCTCTAACAGAAATATTTGTATCATCTATAACTATGGGTGAAGTGCCGGAGGACTGGAGGGTGGCTAATGTTGTTCTTTATTTAGAAAAAGCTCTAAGGAGAAGTCGGTGAGTCTGACATCAGTGGACGGTATTTTGTTGGAGGTGATTCTGAAAGATAGTAATTATATGCATTTGGAGAGACAAGGAATGGTTAGGGATAGTCAGCATTGTTTTGTGTGAGGGAAATCAGGTTTCACAAACTTGATTGAGTTTTTTGAGGACATAACCAAAACGCTTGATGAAGGCAGAGTGGTAGACAATGTTCACTTGGATTTTAGTAAAGCCTTTGACAAGGTTCCACAGGGTAGACTGGTTAGTAAAGTTAGATCACATAGGATTTAGGATGAGCTTGCCAATTGAATACAAAATTTGCTTGACGGTAAGTTACAGGGGGTGGTAGTGGAGAGTTGTTTTTCGACTGGAGGCTTGGGACCAGCGTTCCACAGGGATCGGTGCTGGTCCACTTTTGTTTGTCATATATACAAATGATTTGGATGAGAATATAGGAGACATGGTTAGTAGGTTTGCAGATGCCACCAAAATTGGTGGAATAGTGGACAGTGAAGAACGTTATCTAACATTACAAAGAGATCTTGATCAATTAAGTCAATGGGCTGAGGAGTGGCAGATGGAGTTTAATTTGGATAAATGCGAGGTATTGCATTTTGGTGAAACAAACAAGAGCTGGACTTATACAGTTAATGGTAGGGCCCTGGGTAGTGTTGCAGAACAGAGAGACCTAGAGGTTCGGGTAGATAATTATTTGAAATCTGCATCACGGGTAAACAGGGTGGTTAAGAAGGCATTTAGCAGGCTTGCCTTGGATTGCTCAGACCTTTGAGTGTAGGAGTTGGGACATCATGTTGATGTTGTACAGGACATTGGTGATGCCTCTTCTGGAGTACTGGGTGCCATGCTGGGCAGCATGTTATAGAAAGGGTATTATTAAACTGGAGAGGGTTCAGAAAAAAATTACCAGTATGTTGTTTGGAATGGAGGGTTTCAGTCATAAAATAGGCTGGATAGACTGGGACTGTTTCCTCTGGAGTTTAGGCGGTTGAGGGGTGACCTGGTAGAGGTTTATAAATTCATGAGGGGAATAGATAAGGTGAATGGCACAGGTCTTTTCCCTACAGTGGGGGAGTTCAGAACTAGGGGGCACAGATAAGGTGAGAGGGGAAAGACTTAAAAAGAACATGAGGGGGAATTTTTTTACACAAAGTGGTTAGTATGTGGAATGAATTGGTCAATGCAGGTATTCTTAAAACGTTTAAAAGATGTTTTAATAAGTATATGAATAAGAAAGGTTTGGAAGGATATGGGCTAAACGCAGGCAGGTAGGATTAGTTTAGTTTGGCAATATGGTCGGCATGGACTAGTTGGACCAAAGGTATGTTTTCTTGCTGTATGACTGTATGACTCAAACATTTCTACTTTTCTCAGTTCTAATGAAGGATCATTGACCTATGGCTGAATTTTCCATTGCCTGGAGTGGCATGAGCAATGTTGAGACAGATTGAAAATACAATGGGAATGAAAATAAACAGAATCTCAACTTCAAGAAATATATCTTCAAATTCCCCTCAGGCCTTAGATGGCAACTTCAGAATCTTACCATTGAATAGTGACTACCGTATTTCCATGTGTTTGTATCTCATTGAAGTCCCAACCCACATTATTTCTTTACCTTTTCCAATTGTCCTTTCCTTCCCAAAGAAATTAGACTGCACAATTCCTGATGTGTAATTCAGAGTGGGTTGCTGGTGGCTGCATTCTGATTGCTTGTCATAATAATCATTCATATTCCTCTTTACAATGATGTCCTGGAGCAGTTGCTCCAGGGTCATTATCCTTCTGAACCTTTTATCCTTTAAGTGAACATTGGCCATGAATCCATTGGACTTACTATATCATCCTGCTTTCTCTACCACTTCAGCTTTTCAACACTTAACTTTGGAGTTTAGGGACAAGAAATAACTGCACAGCGGCCAGTTTCCCATCACCAAGTCATCCTTTATTTTCATATGCACAGTACATGGGATCTGACCAGCTAGCTCAGAGCCAGTCGCTAGAGTGAGGAGACTCTCTGACATTCCTATTTATATCTTTAAGCCAGGGCTCCCTGATTGGCCTGGGTTAACAACCCCAATTAGGGATCTCACACTCAATGAGATCTACCTGGTCAGCCTCATTCCAATCACTAAAGGACATCTATGACTTGCATGCGTTTGCAGGGTCACTTTGTTCTCAGTGATACACAAGCACACTTGTGCACACACAAACACACATCCAATGTGTCTACACCGGATGCATATTAATTCATTCATGGAAAGTGGACATCTCTGGCTAGGCCAGAATTATTCTAGCTCTTAGCCTGCATTCTCAGTGCTTACACACTTTGCACTTACTTGGAGGCTACCAGTCTCTGTATACAACATATTACTTTAATACTGCATACTCACTGGCTTACAGGCTGACAGTCTCTGTGTTCAGTGCTCAGTTACAGTCTGACGGTCTGGCAGACATTGAGACTGGCAGCCTGTAACTATACAGTAAAACCTCTATGACTGATACTATGACTTTGACATGGATCCCCTGACTCTGGTCGGACCAGATGCCTTATCTGGAATTGGACACGTCTCTGTGACTGATTGGGGCACTGGGCACCGACTGACTGTAATTGCCCTCCTACATCACCACGAACTGCTCTTCCATTCACCCTCAGTCCTGAAGTGGTTTACAGCTCAGCATTAAATATGTTTAAAGTAGACACCTCTCCAGCCACACAATTTCACAGGAAAGGTGCCCAGGAGCCCAGGGAAGAGTAGGTGATTGTGTGAGAAAAGTCACCCCTTGCTACTTTAATGAAAAATGGGAAAATTACACTCAGAAGTTGATTTCTCTCTTTACAGATGCTGCTTGATCTGCCGAGTATTTCCAGCAATTTCTGCAGTTTATCTTGTTTTGCTTGTTATTGGAACTTGTGATGCGCAGCCTCTCGCTCCTGTTTCCTGGAATAGGAATTGCACTTCTAAGAGTGCTATATTATTTGTAAAACACTACGGAATGCCCTGAAGTTGTAAAAGGCGCCATACAAATTCAAGTTCTTTCTTTCAAACATCACCCAATAAGTATTAGAAAACTCAACAATCAAATGCCTCAGAAGGCTTGTTTCAGTAGCGTTGCTGGTTTTACATTGTCAGAGTTTGATGAGAGCCCAGGTCAGAATATTTCCTGACAAGTAACAACAATATTTAAGGAGTAATCACACCTTCCTGATTTTACCTCAGAACTGAACCCATCTAGCTGACACTCACCTTTCTTTCTCCTTCAAAGGAAATTTGCTGCCACAATCTCTCGGCCCTTCTCTGTCCGTTATAATGCTTACACCCAAAGTATTGAAGTTCTGGACAACATTGAACAGCTAGAGAACCTGGTTGACAGTATCAGCAGTAAGTATTTTTCTCTCAGACAGCTCAGACTGTCATAAACGATTCTGAATATCCAATGAAGACCAACTGTATTTGTGTGTCCGACCCATTTTTATGGAAGCACTATTTAGCCTGTTTTAACTTGCTTTAGATTGGGTCATTTTTTTTATTCGTTCTATGAGATCTGTTGCTTTTGAGAAGGTGGTCGTAAGCTGCTTTTATTGAACTGCTGCAGTTTATGTACTGTAGGGACACCCATGATATGATTAAGATGGGAATTCCAAGATTTTGACCTGGCGACAACCATTTATTTCCAAGTCAGGATGGTGAGTGAGGGGAACTTGCAGGTGATTGTGTTCCCGTGCATCTGCTGCCCTTGTCCTTCTGGATGGTAGGAGATGTGGGTTTAGAAAGTATTGCTGAATGATCATTGTTGAATTGCTGCAATGTAACTTGTAAATGGTAGTCTGTACACTGGTAGAGAAGGGACTGGATGGTTAAGGTGTCAGATGGGATGCCAGTCAAGTAGTTTGCTTTGTTCCAGATGGTGTCAAGCTTTTTGAGTGATGTTGGAGTAGTACTTATCTAAGCAAGTAGAGGGTATTCCATCACATTGCTGACTTGTGCCTGGTCAATCCATCAAGTGGCTTTGGCTAGGGAAGAGGTACCTTTCTCAAGAAGAGAGTCAACTATCACTAAAATTCATGGTATACGATTTCAGGGAATTAGTATTGTAATTTATTAATTGGTGTGGCAAATTGTAACCAGGATTGGGAGAGATTAAAGGATAGACAGACAGGTATAAGATGCAGTTCAGTAGCATAAAGGAGATGTTTCCATTTGCACAGAGTCCAAATTTCAATATCATTAATGTAAGATAGTTACTAATAAATCCAATTGGAAATTCAGGAGAAATGTCTTCACCCAAATAGTGGTGACAATGTGGAACTCACTATCACAGGGAGCAAGTGAGGCAAATAACATAGATACATTTAAGGATAACATGTATGAATACATGAGGAAGAGAAGAATAGAAGGCTTTGGACTACATTAGATGAAGAGGGGTTGTTTTAAGCATAGACCTATTGGGAGAAATAGTTTATTTCTGTGCTATAAATACTATGGAATAAAGGAATATTTATCATTGGGGTTAGAAGTTGTATAAAACCAAAAAGCACAAGTGAACACAACAAAAGCAACCTTTATGTCCATGATACCCTTAATAGAGTAAAATCCTCCAAGATGTTTCACAGAAAAGTTATCAAACAAACCGAATGCTGAGCCACACAAGGGGACAATGAAATGGATGAGAAAATGCTTGGCCACAGAAGTGGGATTCAAAGAACATCTTAAAGGACGAAAGGAAGGTAGAGAGGTGAGGAGGTTTAGAGTGGGATTTAAGAGCTCCCAGTACAAGAAAATAAAAGACACAACCAAAAATGGAAGAGCAATTAAAATCAGCGGTGAGTAGGTGACAATAATTGGAGGCATGTAGAGATCTCAGACAGTCATAAGACTGAAAGGGATTGCAGAGATAGGGCAGGTGAGACGTAGAGACAACATGCAATAAGTTGCATGTTAGTAACTGGAATGGTAAGGTATTGCAACTGATTGAACAGAAAGTGAATAAATTCTGATTGTTAATGTTTAAAATTTGCAGGTGATATGGGAACTCTCTACCACGCCCTCAGGAAACTTAAGTGAAAATGGCAAATCATAATTACTTCCTGTGAAAGCCAAGTTATCAATAAGCATGCAAGAACTCTTTAAAATTGTATAGAATGAGAACAGTGTACTCAACCATCAAACTGATCACCTATGCCTGTCCATCTCATATACATTGTGTACAATTTGGCTGATTCAACTCACTCGATCTTCCAAGTGAAGTAGCCCATCTTAGGGAAAATTTTGAAGAAGTTAGAGCCCTGTGACATTTATTTCCAACTAAAAGGTGATTGTAAGGATGTCAATCCAACATTATATCCCCTATTCTTTAAATTTGATTAGTTCCAGGGCAATGCATCCACAGTCCTAAGGTATACAAAAGGCTTTTCAGAAGTATTGGATCTTTGTCGACAGCTATACTAATTCTTCATAACTTACATTCTATTCATTTGCTTATATAGCATTGAAGGAGACCATTCAGCCTGTCATACCATTACTGCTTCATTAAATGAGATGTTTAATTATTTTTACCCCAGTAGTAGGATCCCCCATAGACACAATGTTCTTTTTTAATTTTTCAAGAGTTTATCCAATTCCAAATTGAAGGTGACTTTTGAATCAATTTCCACTAATTATTCAGGCTGTACATTCTAGATCACAGCAACTCAACTTTCAACTAAAATGTATCTCCATTTTCTCCATGAATTAATTTTCCAATAACCTTCAATCCGCACCCTCTGGTACTAACCTTCCTGCCAAAGCAAGCAATTTTACTACATTTATTATATCAGAAACTGGTATCAATCTTCAGTAAATGTGTATCAATCCCATTTGATTTAGTTTTGGTGTGGAAATAGTTGGATTTTCAGTGCTTATGCAGATCTTGAACAAACAGTAGTAATTCTAATGTAATTGTGCCAAATTCACTGCTTCTAGTCATCAGGAAGATGCAGTAAAAACTGGACAGTGCATGAATCCAACCAATTTAGTTGAGCTCATCATTGACTGCATATAATAACATTGTGGTATTGAAGGCCCCTTAGGACAGAGCAGAGCAGAATTCAAGGTGTTAATCAAATCTGGATCAGAGGATTTTGCTGGGTGGGGGAACATACTACTCTCTGACCTAGCTTTCAGCTTGTTCACTTTGAAATTGGTGATGGGAGGTGGGTGGAGAATTTTCCATGTTGAACCAAGCAAATTGAAACACTCAAAACCCTTGGTCAAATGATGTCTGACAACCATTTGATTGTGTCTGTATCTCTGACAATGCCAATATCCCTCTGTACACTTGTCAACAGCCATCGCATTTGTCAACATTAGTAAATGCTAGTGTTCATTCTGCCACATGATTTACATAAACAGCATATGCCCCAGGACGGACCCCTGCAAATGAACACTGCTGTACTTACATTCTGTACAGTACACCACAGGTTCATTTTGCAAATCTGGAAGATACTAATAAATGAATTGTTTTGCTGGGGTTGCTTTCTTCTTCGTCAGCCCAAATGTGATTCTGAATCTCTTAGAAGAGCTGTCGAGACCATACAACATTTCTGGCTCTTTATGTTGCCCAGTATCTGGGGTTACAGCTGGTTGAGCTGCTGTTAGTTATAATACAGGTAATGTTACTAATCTGAAGGCAACACCTGAGACCCTTCTGAGTAGAAGCGTATTTATGCAAAATGGTTACATTTGACTGCTTTGAATGAATTGGTTTTGCTCTTTATTTTTCCCGTTTTGTTTTGTTCATCTATCAGTCCTCTTGTTAAACAGGCATTTTTTTTTGTATATAGTTTGTCTCTTTCATTATTCTTACTGAAATACAAAGTTAGGATAGATGCAAAAATCGGGTTTGTGCAAACTTTGTTTGCCATTGACCATGTAGATGTGTAGCATAGATCTCTAAGGACCATGTGTAATCAACTTCAATTGCATCTATCTGATACGAACACATCTTGGATTCGCAATTAGAATGCACCCATAGATGTTAAAATGAGGTATTTATTATTTCAACTAATATCCATAATATAATCCAATAAAAATTCAAAAAGCTATTCCAATTAACGTTGAGGAAATGTCGTTAATGACCTTTCACAAATCTGCAGATCTAAGAAAAGTTCAAACAGAACAAACCAGCTGACAGGAAATACAAGCAAAATACTGTGGATGCTGGAAATCTGAAATAAAACCAAAAGGATCCTGGAAACACTTGGTAGCAAGTGTGGAAGAAGTGTTAACATTTCAGATCCATAACCTTTCATTAGAGCTGGAAGATGTAGAGATTTAGCAGCTCTCAAACACAGTTTTTACTTCAATATTTAAAGAAAGATATATTTGCATTATAGGCTACACAGCAAATGTTCATTCAAACGGTTCCTGGGATGAGAAGGTTGTCCTATGATGACAGACTGAGTAGATTGGGCCAACACTATCTGGAGTTTAAAAAAAGATAGTCTCATTGAAACATATAAAATTCTGCAGGTATTCAAGAGGGTAGACACTGTGAGATTGTTTCCCCTGGCTAGACAATAATTAACATCAGGGTAAAGTCAATCATATGGAGCTGAGATATGAGAAATTTATTTTTTCAGAATGGTGCGAATCTTTGCAATGTTCTACTGCAGAGGGTGGGGAATCATTGAAAATATTTAAGGCTAGAATAGGTAGATTTTTCTTAGGTCTCTTGGACCATAAAAGGAAGTGGATAGGAAAGTGAAATTGAGGCAGAAAATTAGCCATGATTGTATGAATGGCAGAACAATTGAGAGGATCCATGGGCTACAACTGCCACTAATTCTTATTTTGTAAGCATGTCTTAGACCATAAGACACAGGAGCAGAAATTAGGCCATTCAGCCCATCAGGTCTGCTCTGCCGTTCAATCATGGCTAATGAATTTCTCAACCTCATTCTCCCAATTTCTCCCCTTAACCTTTGATCCTCTTGACAATCAAAAACCTTTCTATCTCTGTCTTTCATATGGAATCATAGAGTCATAAAGATGTACTGCATGGAAGCAGACCCTTCAGTCCAACTTGGCCATGCCAGTCAGATATCCTAGATAAATATACTCAATGACCTGGCCTCCACGGCCTTCTGTGGCAATGAATTTCACCATTCTCTGCCTAAAGAGGTATCATCTCATTTCAGTTCTAAAGGATCTTCCCTTTACTCTAAGCAGTGCCCTCGGGTCCTGGTGTCTCCTGTTAATGGAAACATCTTCTCAACATCTACTCTGTCAGGCTGTTCAGTATTCTGTAAGTTTCGATTATATCCCCCTCATCCTTCTAAACTCCATTGAGTACAGACCAGAGTCCTCAATCATTCCTCATATGTTAAGCCTTTCATTCCTAGGTCACTCTCATGAACCTCCTCTGGACCTGCTCCAGGGCCAGTACATCCTTCCTGAGGTATGAGGCCTGAAATTGCTCACAACGCTCTAAATGTGGTATAAAACCTCAGAAGTACATCTCTGCTGTTATATTCTAATCCCCTCGAAATAAATGCCAACATTGTGTTTGCCTTCCTAACTATAGATTCAAGCTGCAAGTTTACCTTAAAAGAATCCTGGACTAAGACTTCCAAGTGCCTTTGCACTTCAGATTTCTGAATTTTCTCCCCATTTAGAAAATAGTTTATGCCTCTATTCTTCCTACCAAAGTGCATGACTTCACACTTTCCCACATTGTATTCCATCTGCCACTTCCTTGCCCCCTCTCCTAACCTGTCTAAATCCTTCTGCAGCCTCCCCGCCTTCTCAATAGTACCTGCCCCTCCATGTATCTTTGTTTTGATTGTTTATTTTATCAGTTGTTGTTCATTCTACTTCCCAAGTCTGATGAAAGGTTATCAAGTTGAAATGTCAATTCTCTTTCTCCCAGCATTGATGTTGCCTGACCTGCTGAGTATTACCAACATTTACTAGTTTTGGACAGAAGTAGTACAGTTTCAATTGGGACTGTGATACCTGGGATTTAAGGGATGGAATTTCAGAGTCTAAGGTCTGGACATAACCTGTGGGCTGAGGTTAAACATCATCTCATTCATCAATAGATATTATAACTACATCATGCCAAATTAATAAATGTTGATTTAATAAATTTCTTTACAGTTTTAAGCTCTTCGAACCAATATATATAAGGCCATAGAACTTAACATAAACTACGTAAGGATTTTCCTGTCCAGTAACTGCAAGAGTTCTGAAGCAGAAGGAAATTGCTTTTTAATGTTTTTCTTTTAATTTATCAGAGAATAAGATTTTAAAAGAATATTATGAAACATTATTTCTCTTTAATGAAATTTACAGCAGAATATAATTTCTTGATGATATAGTGCACCCTGTTTCCTGGTTATTGACATATTTATAAAAATGTTCTGCTTAATTTAACTATTCATATGATCAGAATTTATAAGAGGTCATTTTTCAGCGTAAATTCCAGGTAATTGTGCGCACCACCAGAAGGTGGTGACCAACTTTACAGATCCATACTACACAAGATGGCAAAGAATGAAGAGGCTTTCATTAATATTTCCTCTTTCAAGATACAATTCGACATACCAATGGTCTCACTGCAAAAATATAAGAAAATAAAGTTGTATTTTTAAAGTGAAGGCATGTTGTATCTGTCAATATCATAAATACAATGTTATACCAAATCAAGTAGTGTGACAATTCAAAAAATTTAAATAATGACTTTCATTTACAAGTATGTCTCATTTGCACTGCCTGTACTGTGATATATCCTAATAAACTGTAATATAAAGAGCTGTCAGGGCTTTCAAAATGCTTAATTCAACTAATAGCATTTGTAAATTCCGATCCTTTGCTCTCAAAAGAATTGAACATCCCCACATCTGAGAAGGACACAAACTTAGCCAAAGATGTGTTGTGTCAAAAGAAAAGTGTAAGAACATCTAAAGTTCACAAGTGACTGAATTGACTGAAATGTTGCACAATGTGTTCAAGGCTCACGTTATAAATCCGAGGCCCTCTGCATTCAACACCTTAAAGGGATCCTTTGCTTAAAGCAAACTCGAGTTGTATTTGGTAGCTGTAAGTTCAGTGCGTATTGGCCACGTGTTGAATCACTATCAAGAATTCTATTCTGAAAAATATATCCATATATATGCCACATAATGCAATAGGAGCAATTCTAACCACTATTTCAAGGCTCTAAAGAACAATACGTGTTGAAGAGGCCATTCAGCTACTTGATTCTGTTCAACCACTCAAGTTCATTCACAGCTGATTTGTATCCTAATTCCAAACACCCACCTTGAATCCACGTCATCTTATAGCTTTGGCTGGCAAAAATCTTTTGATCTCTAAATTAAAGATACTAATTTACCCATCAGATAATACTATGTTTTCAGAAAGAGAGAACATGAACTCTGGTAACTTTTTGTAAACTCATGTTCAATGGGCTATTTAGTTCAATGATGGTATGCAGTACCAGGAATTTGAGTACCCATATCGGAATGGCATTTTAGAACCCATTGACGATTGAGAACATGGAACAAAACAATTAGCTCACACCAAGATGTCACAAACAGGAGATGAGCTGAATTAATTGGTTTGATGGTAAGACCCAGGAGCAGAAATAGGCCATTCAGCCCATCAAGTCTGCTCTGCCTTTCAATGAATTCATGACTGATCAGAAAATTCTCAAGTCCACTTTCCTGCCTTTTCCCATAACCCTTGCTTTCCTTACTGATTAATAATCTAACTCAGCCTTGAATATACTCAATGACTCAGCCTCAACAACCCTCTGTAGTACAGAATTTCACTGTTTGAGTTGGTTGAGCGAGCAATATTAGTCAGCCCAGTAACCTTTAACAATGTGATCGTGGGTGTCCTTCCGGAGACATTGTAGTCCAGCTGGGAAAGGCCTTCCCCAAGGTTTTTCATTAAATAATGACCTGCGACCTTTTACACACGTGAAGGAATGAGCCTTTCAGGCAGACGCTGCAGATATCAGACTGTTTCTCTCCAGTTGGACATACTTCGAAATGACCAGGAAAAGAAATGTGACTGGAAAAACGGAACCATGGTTGACAGAAGTTTGTGTTGGCACCAACTCCGGGCTTATAGACTAACATATAGAGCAGTAAAGACGTGGCCAATTCACACCGAACTTACAGCTACCAAATACAACTCGAGTTTGCTTTAAGCAAATTAGAGCGGGATCCCTTTAAGGTGTTGAACTCAGAGGATCTCGGATTTATAACGTGAGCCTTGAACACATTGTGCATCATTTCAAAAAATGCAAGAGGCAAGAAAATATCCTGAATTTGGAGCAAAGAAATTCCATAACTTACAGCAATGATTGCCTGGATTATGAGCACTTTGAAATTTGTTTTAGTTTGCATAGAAAATAAGGACAGGTATAGACCATCAGCAACTCCAGTCTGCTCCACCATTCACTGTGGTCACGGCTGATCATCAAACTCAGTCCGCTGTTCCTGCTTTTTGCCACCCCCCTCCCTTCGATCCCTTCATCCCTAAGAACTATATCTAACATCTTCTTGAAAACATTCGATGTTTGCGCCTCAACTGCTTTCTGTGGCAGAAGATTCTACAGACTTACCACTCTCTGGGTGAAACTTCTTTCTAAATGACCCCTGGTTCATGTTAAACGTGTTTCACGACTGAAATAAACTATTGTGATGCAATTGACCAGCTATAGGATTGGCTGGATTGCTATAGCACGATGGGCAGAATGGTCTATTTCTGTCCTTTATCATTGTGTGATACTCAAAGGTAACGTGCAAGCCCCATCGGCTACATGG